TGACCCAAGAGAAAACTGAAACAGACCAGTAATAAGAAATGAGATGAAAACAGTAATAAAAAGCCTTCTACAAAGAAAAGCCAAGTACCAGATGGATTCACAGCTGAATTCTATCAGCCTTTAAAGCAAAAGGAATGCCATGCTCCTTAACTAATTTCATGAAATAGAAAGAGAACATTTTAAAATTCTTTCTATGAAGTCATTGTCACCCTAATACCAAAATCGGATAAGGATGTATCAAAAAGAAAAAGAAAAAAGAAAGAAAAGAAAAATACACACCAATATTCTTAATGAACATAGATGCAAAAATTCTTGATAAAATGTTAGCAAATCGAATTCAACAACACATTAAAAGATTATACCCATGATTAATTTGGTTTCATTCCAATGATGCAACAATGGTTCATCAAATATAATATATCATATTAATGGAATCAAGAAAAAAATTCACAATTATGAAAGCCTTGGAAAAAATTCAGCACCTCTTCATGATTAAAACTCTGAAAAAAACTAGGGATAGAAGGAAACAGCTGAACCTCACAAAGGACATATATAACAAATCCAAAGCTAACATCGTCCTGAAAGGGGAAAACTGAAAGCATTTTCTCTAAATCAAGAAAAAGACAAGGATGTTTTCTCTCACCACTCCTATTCAATATAGAAATTGAAATTTTAGCCCAATTCAGCAAGGTAAGAAAAAAAGGGGGATACAAATAGGGAAGGAAGTTGTCAAATTATCACGGTTTGCAAATGATGTGATCATACACTTAGAAGATCCTTAAAAGTCCACCAGTACTTCTGGAGCTGATAAACAAATTCAGCAAAGAGCAGGATATAAAATCAACATACTAAAATCAATAGCTTTTCTACACATTAACTTAATTCATTTATTAAACAATGAATCTACTGAAAAAGAGAGAAAACAATTTTATTCAGCATAACTTCAAAATATATAAATAAAATACTAGTAATAAATCTAAATTAAAAAATGAAAAACCTAACTAATAAAAATTAAAGAACACTGAAAAAGTAATTGAAGAATACACCAGAAGATGGAAGAACTACTCATGTTTTTGGATAGGCAGAATTAAGATTGTTAAAATAGTCATATTTCCAAATGAGATACAGGTTCAATGCAATGTTTTAATAGAGACATCAAAATGCCTGTTTTTCCCAGAACTAGAAAAACAATTCTAAATTTCATATGGGAAAATAAAAGATTCAGAATAGAGGAAACTATTCTACGCAAATAGAGTAAAGCTGTAGGCATAACCACACCTGACTTAAAACTATAATACAGAACTACTGTAATCAAAGCAGCATAGTACTGGTACAAAAATAGACACATGGACCAATGGAACAGAACAGAAAACAGAGGCAAACTCACACAGATAGCCATCTGATTCTTAACAGAGTTACCAAATGTTTTCATTAGAGAAAAGACAGACTTTTAAACAAATAGTACTGTGAAAACTGAATATTCATATGTAAAAGATTGAAACTAGACCCACATGTCTCATTCTGCACTAAAGTCAACTCAAAAGGGATCAGCAACCTAAGAATAAGACTAGAAACTTTGTAACTCCTACAAGAAAATGTAGGAGAAATTTTAGCATGGAAGCATAGGGAGCAACTTCTTCTATAGGACTCCTATAGCTCAGAAAATAACACCAACCATGAATAAATGAGAGCATCAAACTAAAAATCTTCTATATAGCAACAAAACAACTGCATAAAGAGAGAATCTACAGAATTTTAGAAAATCTTTGCCAGCCGCTCTTCTGACAGAGTATTAATATCCAGAACACACAAAGAACTTAAAATGCTTAACATAAAAAATAAGAAAGAAAGAAAGAAAAAAAGAAAAGAAAACCCAAATAACCGCAATCAAGAAAATCAATAAATAGGCAAATGAATTAAACAGATACTTCTTAACAGAAATACATATAGGCAGCAATTATATATATTTTAAAGCTTAACATCTTTTGCCATCAGGGAAGTGCAAATCAAAAGTATGATATTTTATCTTACTCCAGTTAGAATGACAATCATTAAGAGTGAAAATAATAATAAATGCTGTTGAGGATGATGGGGGAAGGAAACCATAAACTTTTGGTGGAATTGTACATTAGTAGAGATAGCATGGAAATCAGGATGGAGGTTCCTGAAAGACTATGAATAAGAATCACCATATGATTCAGTTACACTACTTGTTACTATATATCTAAAAGAATTAAAGTCAGCATACTACAAAGACATGTGGCTAGCCAAATCAGGGGTGGGGTAGGGGAAAGAGCATCATAAAATTTGCAGAACCAATCAAAAGCACTTTCCAGAGAAGGGGAGTCTCAGCCACTGGGTCAATGACTAGGATAACAGTAGTTATGGCTGACAGCAGAATCATCTGCAGAGAGATCTTCACAATTCTAGTTTTGGACTGTACCTCTGACATAAAAAAGAATGTTATTCCTGTATATTGGCAATGAAAAGGTACAACCATGAAAGAAATAATTGACAAGCTGGACATGATTAAAATTGAAAAGTTCTGCTCTGTGAAATATATTCTTACAAGAATGAGAAGGCAATCTAGAGTTGAAAAAGATACTTGCAAACAACATATGTGATAAACAACTGTTATATAAAATATAAAAAAAACACTTGTAATTTGACAGTAAGAAAAAAAACAATTAAAAATAGGAATAAGATTCCTTCTCAGAGAAGATACATAGATGGCAAATAAGTAGATGAATATGTCCAACATCATATGTCATTAGAGGATTGCAAGTGAAACAAAAATGAGATACCATAAACACCTTTTAGAATGACTCAAATCCAGATCACTGATATCATCAAATTCTGGTGAGGATGTGGAGCCACAGAACTCTCATTCATTGCTGGTTAGAATACAAAATGGCACAGCCAAAAGGGAAGACAATTTCTCAATTTCTTATAGCACTAAACATCGTCTTACCAAAAAATTCAGCAATCAAACTAGTTTTTTTTTTACCCAAATGACTCAAAAATATTTCCCACAAAAATTTGAATACAGATATTCACAGGCACTTTATTCATATTGCCAAGCTTGGAAGCAACTAGTGTCCTTCAGTAAGTGCCTGGATAAACTGATACATCTAGACAATGTAATATTCTTCAGCAGTAAAAAGAATCAAGCTATTAAGCCATGAAATGATATAAACTTTAGGTGCATATTACTAAGAGAAAGAAGCCAATCTATAAAATCTATACCCTATGTGATTCCAATTACAGGACATTTGGACAAAGACTATAGACACAGTGAAAATATGAGCAGTTGCTATGGGTTAGAGAGGGAGGATAATGTGGAGGTGGAGCACAAATGATTTATAGAGCAGTGGTACTCTTTGGTAGCATACTGTAATGATGAGTACACATCAAGATGTGTTTGTATGGAATATATAATTCCAAGAATAATCACTAAGGTAAACTTCGGATGTTGGTTGATAAAAATATAGCACTAAAGGTGCATTGATCCTAAAAAAAGCACCATTCTGATGGGGGAGGTGAATAGTAAGGGTAGCTGTGGGTATAGGAGGGCCATATAATATTAGTCAACTATACACAGATATATAGATATATGTATGTATAGATATAGATATAGATATAAATATATCTGTGTATAGTTGACAAATACTATCTCCATTCACCTAAATGTCACACACACGTACAGGCTTGCACATAAACACATAAATAAACACACACACACACACACACACACACACACGACTAAGAGGTCCTTGAAGATAGATTGAGCCTCACTAATATTTTTCATTTGACAACCCTTGGGGCTTTGTATGTAGTAAACGTATAAATTGAATTGAATTGAGTTTACTCTGCTATGATTCATTTAAAATATATTATTTAGTAATAGTCATATAACAGATAAATTATTAAATATAAAATTAATATGAGATTCATATACTCATTAATTAATTTAATGTCTATGTACATTTGGCAAGAAACTATGTACATTCTATATTGCTGGTTTGAGATTCAGAGAAAGTGTTTAGTATGCTACTTGTAACATCAGGGCCATTGTTTAGCATTATGTGCTCAGAAGCCATTTGATTTCCCTGTGGAAATTTTCCTAATCCAGCTGCAGTTTATGTGAAAAAAAGTACTGAGCCAATGGGAATCTGGAGCTTGTTCCTGGTTAGGTCCTTGAGTAGTGAATTGATAGCCATTGTTGATTCATTTCACTACCATGGCCTGAGGCAGCTCTTCTTTAAAATACAAAATGGAGTAGATAGTCTCTAAAACCTTCTAACTCTAGTATCCTTTGTATTTTAAAGCTTAAATTTGGATAATCAACTCAATTCCTACAGAGCAGGCTGGATTCTTGTTCATGCATTTTTCTGACCACAAGATGGCGGGCTTTATGCTATTTTCCTCAACAAAAAAGAACCTTAGCACTCTTGCATTTTGAAAATTTAAAACTACCAATTCCTGAAAAAGTCTGATAAATGCGACATGGAGTTTGTATGCTGACTCTCAAGGGTGTCTTGAATGTTTGGGATTTTCACAATAAATAATATTACTCTTTTTTTGAGTAAGAATACTGATCTGATGGAGACTGTTTTTATACAAATGAAAAATTCCAGGAGGAGATCAAAGAGACTACAAGTATTTTCATTTGTTTTTCCTTCCACAAATCAAGGACAATGCTTTTGAAATTTAAAATTGATAAAAACTTTAGCATAAATGTTACTGAATACAGTTTTCAAAATACATTGTAATTCTCATATTTTTGGTCTTTTTCCTTGATATTTCCTAAGTATCACAATCATTTCTTGTTGTTGTTGGGAAGGGGGATGTCTGCTACTGGCTTTTAAGATTTGATTTGAATTAGAAGTAGCAAGTCCTGATGTGCATCAAACTGGGAAGAACAAGATTAGGGACTCTTTTAGTTCCTATGGAAATTAATTTCTTATATCTATCTACTTAGGAAGACTTTGCCAACTTACCCTGGTCAGAAGCTCATTCATTTCCATCACAAGTGTATTCAGATTGCCTTCTGCCAACTGAATAAGCCTCTCAGGGGCCCGCTGGGGTGAGAGCAGGTGCTGAAAAACATTTCATCCCATACATACTTCAGTAAGTGGTTTTGCAGTAATCATTGGGTTGAATGGCATACAGTTTTCCTACATATACAAAAAATTTGGTTTATCACTTTGAATAAAAAATAACAACCCTACACACTGAGCATTATGTCAAATACTCAGGCAAATAGCAAAAAAAAAAAAAGTAGTAATTTATTGAGAATTTACAGTGCAAACTGTTTTTGTTTTTTGTGTAGTTGCTATTTCACTTAATTCTTATAAGAATCCTATCTAGTCAATGTTATTCCATTTTGTGGATGTGGCTTACAGAGAGTTAAAAATCTGTGCAAGATCACACAGCTAATAGCAAGTAGAATTAAGATGAACCTCCACAACGCTCCTGGTTCCCATCAGCAGAGACACATTTTACAGGCACAAAAGAGCTAACAGTAGCACTTGGCATAGAGATCCTGGCACTAACTGGCCTGGACTTAGAATAGGTAAGAGCTGGCCTGGCATTCACAGGCTACTTTGTTCTCCCGTTGAATATACAAGTTCACAAGATTAGATAGGGTCACTCTGTGATAGTGGTGAATAAAAAGGAAAAATGATACTGTTCTATAATCTTGTCTAAGCACAGACAATACCATTTCCCTGGGCTTAGATAATACCATAAAATCCTATTTGCTGGCTAATATGAAGGACCAGTTTCTTCACTCATAGTTTGTTTCCCTCTGTGCTTCCTAGATAGTCATGAGACTATTGAGTTATATAATTATTCCCTCTTGCTAACAGCACCCAATTGAGTACTAACCCCTGCTTCCTAGAACCTGCCCTCACACCACCCAGCTCTAGCCCAATGTACTATATACCTTGTTCCTAACACCCTCTGATGGAGACAGCCCACTGTTCTCCCTGGTGTTCCATGTCCTAGCTGGAGTGAGCTAATAAACCTAGCTTTATTCTACCATTTGTGTGCTCTTGGTGGTCTTTAGATTGGACCTAGGGACCACTGCCACAGTGAAGAACTGAAGAAAGAAATTAAAGAATTTGCTTAAGGGTTTAAAACATCAAAATGGGATCTTAAGGATCCAACTACTTAATGAATTATGTAATAAGAATACACAGAATCAGGGGGGTTTGAGATTTAAAGAAAACCAGGCTCATTTTGATTAACACCTAGATGTAAGAGGGTAGGCAACTGAAGTCCTCAGCTTGGTGACAGTTGGAACCTTTCCCCCGGTGCCCTTCAGCACATCATTGTTCATTACTTAAGTACGATTTTTTAAAAATACTTACATCCAACTGAAATGTTTGCTTTTCTAATTTAATTTCTTTTCTTTGTATTCCCTTCAGGCACATGGAAAATAACTGGTCGGCATTCTCTTTGTGGAAACTCTTTATATCCCTGAATATTAGGACAATGAAGTTAAACTCAGAATCCTCTGCCTGCTTTCAAGGCTGTCCTTCATATCACCTTGCCATACTCCAGTCCTCAGCTTTATCTGTGACTAGCAGACCTGACTTTTAATGTCTGCTAGATATGCCTCATTCATACCTCTCCCTCTGCTCACATGGCATGACTCCATGGCAAGAGCAAGCAGGGGCTGTGCATTAGGGAGATCTCACCACTGGTTCACTGGGTCCTATAGACATTCTTGGTTTTTTTTTTTTTTTTTTTTTTTTGGTGCTGGGGATCTAATCCAGGGCCTTGTGCATGCGAGGCAAGCACTCTACCAACTGAGCTATATCCCCAGCCCAAGACAGTCATTCTTATAGGTCTTAAAGTTATACTCCCTCTTTTTAAATTCTAGTTCTACACTCAATAGCTATAAAACTTTGTGCCTTATGCAAAAGCTTCTTGGTGCTTCAGTTTCCCTACGTGAAAAAACAAAGAAAATATAGTACTTCCATCTTAGATGAGACTGCTATAAAAAAGAAATACTACAGACAGGTGGTGGGGGAGGGAGAGAATGTACTTCTTGTTTATATGAGGCTACTAATACATTATGAGATCTTTACCTTCATGACCTAATCTGTTTACCTCCCTAAGACCCTGTCTCCAAATACGGTGACATTTCTTATTATTGTTAGAGATTGTTTGTCTCTCTCCAAAATTTTACCCTCTGAGGTGATGGTATTTGGAAATAGGGCCTTTAGGAAGTGATAAGGTCATAAGGGTACAGACCTCAAGATTAGGATTAGTGCCCTTGTGAAAGAGATCTAACAAAACTAGCTGTTCTCTCCTACCATATGAGAACACACATCTATGAGGAAGGGGCCCTCATCAGATATACAATCTACGTTTATCATGGACCTCACAATCTCTAGAACTGTGAATAAGTCCCTGTGGTTTACAATCTCCACAGTTTATAGCATTTTGTTATAGCAGCCTAAAACAGTCTAAGACAAGCCTTCAACATATGAACTTGGTGGGGAGCACAAATATGTAATCCATGAAAACTTCGTTCTTACTTCTTGGAGTTTCTATATAAGTTATGTATGGTTATTCACATAAGTTAATTACTTAGTTTTCCATAAATTTTAGTTATTCTTGCTATCATTATCAGTGGTTTTTCAGTAAAATAGGCATAATAAGGTGGCTATAATCAGGATTAGAAATATATTTCCCAGATAAGTATATGGGGCGAGTGAATCAAGTTTGGATTTCTTCCTCGTCCTCACCAATACTTCTCTGCCAATTAAAATGGTATATAAGCCAGGCACAGTGGCTCACACCTATAATCCCAGCAGCTTGGGAGGCTGAGGCAGGAGAATCAGTTCAGTCCCAGCCTCAGCAAAAGTGAGCGAGGCCCTAAGCAACTCAGTGAGATGCTGTCTCTAAATAAAATTAAAATATGGCTGGGGATATGGCTCAGTGGCCAAGTACCCCTGAGTTCAATCCCCAGTACCCTTCAAAAAAAAAAAAAAAAAACACCTAGCTAACTAAATAAAATGGTATTTACCCTTTGATTTTTCAACAAAATTAACTCTCATTAAGGGTGCATTCTCTAGTTATCCAGAATCTTACTGATTTCTTCAATCTTTGTACTCTATTGTACCTCAAATCTTGATAAAGCACATAGTATGATTTTTGCTATTGAATTACTGCTTAATGATTTTTTAAAGCTACATAGAATCTAGGATTCCTGAGGTTTAGTGACAATATTATAAAAGTCAAAAGATACCCCAGGGAACAAAGTACAACCCTGGGCATTCTATAATTTCTTATAAATACTTGGTAACTGACTGATCACATATAATTATGTGCTTTTCATCTTTTTACAACGAATCTGATTTCCTTAACATTTCTTCTTATCCCTTCAATGACCAAAAGCTTTAACAATGTTTCAGAACAGTGTTTTTCAAACTGGAACTTGTAGAGGTACTTTCAAAGGTCTACTAGTTCTCTAGAACAAAGATTTATTCTTGAGTTTTAATGTAAGCTCTTCTGGACCCCAAGTTAGGTATTCAAGATACACATTAACTCCTGATATCAGAGACTACATCTGCTTACACGTTTGATCATAGGGAAAATTTGAGCTTATGAGTCACAAGTACTTGTCAAATGATGCCAAAAGTCGTTCAGGATCCCTTGCAAGGGGCTCACTAGTTCAACTGTGGAATAGTAAGACAACCAAGCTATCACATATTGCCTGCTGGTGAAAGAACCCATGCGGAGGTAGTCAGAATCATATTCTTGTTGCAAGTAGCAATTTACTTTTAGCCAAAATCATATTACTGTAGATTAATGTTTTTAATTTGAATTTTATTGGTTTTGTAGACTTCTGTAAGAATTAATTTGTTTTGATTTTATGGAGCTATAAGTATAAGGAGTACATACCTGATTTTATGTTCACACATATTTAAGTCACATAATAAAACTGATTTAGGAAAAACAGTGGGGGGGGTGGGTATATATGAGACTCTTTTTCCTTTAATGGCACTCTGCATATTTCAGTTTTCCAGTTTGAAAAAGATGGCTTTAGAAAATTTGAACTTCCCGAACAGCTGTTCCAGTTGATTTGGGGCACTGGAAAGAGCATTTACCAATTATGGCCAATGTCACTTGGGATGCTTCTGTCACCTTGGCCCTGGTTCTTGCTGCTACGGTACCAACCTACCTTTAATTCCTGAGTTGTATTTTCAATGCCATAGAGAATTTTATACGGAGCAGGCAGTGGGCCCGTGAGGTTGATGCTCATGGCCATTTGCTCCAGGCGAGCCAGGTCATCGAGAAGCAGGCCTGTGCATTCATCTCCACAGACTGGAAGGGAAACAACAGAGAATATTTACTTCTGCTAAACATGCCATCCAGATGTTCAAAGATTTCAGCAATGAAATAGTTTATGGTCCAAGCATAATTCCGTGAAACATAGTGGTACTCATCTCAGATAATTAATGCTATTGAATGGATGGCAGTTGAGAAAAGATGAGAATAATGACAACAGAGTTGATATGCCTGCCACCCAGAACTGGAAATAGAAGAAGATAAACTACATAGAGGTTCCAAAAAGAGGACCAAATAGAGTTTTAGGGAAAGGAAGCATATTGCAATAGCAGTAAAGGAGAGGTGAGACACAGAATATAAAACACTCCAAAATCCCCACAGGAGCAATCTGTAGCTTAGAAATAAAACATACTGCAGTGTTTTCAAATTGTTCTATGTATACAAATGTACAGTGCTACAATAAAGCAGGTTGTCCTGTGTGTGCTTCATGTATGACATGTCGAAAATTATGAAAATTATCACCGATTACATACTAAAGAGTATTATTTTTCAAGACAAAACAAATTTTCTTTTTATAATTATTGTTTTTACCTTGTCTTGATATTTATTTATTTACTTATTTGTTTGCCAACTCCTCCTCTGTAGTGAACCTTAATACCTTTTTACCCATGGTTAGGTACATCCCACAAATCCCCACCTGGATGATTAATTAACCTTATCTAGTCTTTAGATGAATAATGGCTATGGATCAGGAAAGTTTTATCTCTTAAGTAGCCAAGAGTACTAATATTGTACTTACAATCTTTTCAGTGATCAGGAAGAAGAACTCCTCAAATTTGGTTGTAGAGTTGGTAGAGAGAAAATTGTATTTTTTGTCTCTTCATGATTGAATTAATCTCACAAATAGTACAATTTCTAAAATTAACATATATTAATATTTGGGGAGTACTTTAAGTTATATGTATTTCCCTTTCTAGTTTTACTTTGCAGAGTAATGAGTTGTCTCTTCATAAAAAAGGAGCAGGTACTACCATGCTGATAAAATAGATACATTCATGTATACAGTTACAATCTCTAACATTTATTCTGCAGATGGAGATACCAAGACTACGCACATTAGAGGAAAGGAAAATACCTATCACGGAAAATACTGAGATATGGAGCAGCACTGGATCATGTCCCAAACTGGCAAGAATTCAATTAGTTCTCTAAATAGCACTCCCCTGAGCAGCTTAATGGAGAGAAAACCATTAACAGAAGCTTGTAAACAAAGAGAAGTAGTATAGAGGGTGATTTTTTGATAGGACAGCAGTTAGAGGTGAGTTACAACATTTCTTCACAGGGACTAAACTGCCCCAGCAGGAGGTTTGATAAATCAGCTCCTTTCAGGTGACACCTGGAACCATGGAGTGTCATCTGCAGGGGCTCTGCAAGCTCCAATACTTGAGAAGCTGAGTGAACAAGAGCTTTGGAGGCAGCAACAGAAGGCTGGAAATGGAGCTGTGTCTCTTCTAATTTTTTATTTTTTAGGTGAACTATAAGTATACATAATAGTGGGATTCATTGTTAACATATTTGTATACATGTACACAATATAACAACATAATTTGGTCAACTTCATTCCCAGTGCCTATGTCTGTCTCATCCTTCTAACCAGAATGAAGGAATTTGTGCATTGTGGAAACTAAATAAAAGGAAGAGAACATTATGACTTCACCCTCTTGGTCAGTGTAAGCTTCAACAGTTACCTACAAGACATGATTATAGAAACACAACACAGGATATAATTAAGTGCCAAATTGATCATGCTTAAACACCTAGATCCATGTTCTGGTTCTCCAGAACTTCAGTAGGCCTTAATTACTTACCCAAAGGATTTTCTGAAATTCCAGGAGACTTAGTCATGCCCCAGGTTTCTGATTCAGGAGGTGATAGTATTCCCTGGTATCTGATTCTTAAGCTGAGCATGTGTATCCTAACAAGTTCCTGAACATCTATACAGCTGGTCTGTGCACCATGCTGTGAGAAGCTAACAGACAAGCAGTTTGGGCACTGCCTGAGAGCTCATTAGAAATGCACTGTCTTGGGCTCTACCCCAGATCTTGCAAACCACAGGCTGCATTTGAGAAAGATTCCATGTGATAGGAAAGTCTTAAAAGCTCTGCTGGAAATCAGTGGTTCTCAGCTTTGCCTGCACATTAGCATCACATGGGGATTTATAAAAACATAGATCCTGGGTTCTTCCCCTGCCTGCCAGATGGTAAGTGGTAAGAATGCTCAGTGCTAAAGTGGGTAAGGATATGGTCGAGGTCATTTTACTTGTGTTATCCTTTACCTAGGGTACTTCATCTTCATCCACTTGGCTTTTGGGTGTGCAGGTCAAATATCCAGGTGTTACTTGCACAAAGGGGAAGGTCCTGATGACTTTAAAGTTACCTTTACTTCAATTGCTCACCTGTCACCCCTGAATTCCCTGTTTTATTATCTTAGACCTTCTGCTTGCACTGGCTGTTTTAGTATGTTGTTTGCATATGTATATATTGTTTCTCTCTTGCTTAAGAATAAACCTTAAACATCTTGTTCACTGTGCCTAGAAAGTGTCTTCAACAAAGTAAATTCTATAAATACTTTTATATTAATAATATCTTTGTGAATGAAGATCAAGAAAATATTTTGGTCTAAGAATGGCTAAGGATGGCATGTAAACAAGTTCCTAAGAAGGTGAGACTGGGGACAGAATGCTCAAGTGAGAGAGGGGAAAGATACTGGTCACATAGAAGACTTCTTAATGTGAGGGTGACATGTTTGATAGGAAATGGTGGACCACACAGATTGCAAAGAACAGAGGAACAGGATAAAGAGAATAATCACAGAAAAAAAACTGTGATATGAATTGAGGACAGAGACCACCTGAAATCACAGATGACTGTTGTGATGGCTGTACTGGGGCTCCATCATGCAATAATGACCCAGTGAAGAGACACTTACTTAGAGCAACAGAAGAGAAGAAAATAGGTCTAAAGTACCACCAGGCAAGAAAGACTACATCTAGATTACTGACAAGATCAAGGTGATTCTGATTTCTGTAGTAGGTTATAAATGATTACATCTTTGCTGCAGCTTCTGTTAAAAGGTAAGTTTACTTCTCTTCCCTCCAATCTTCTTTGGCTTTGCCACATACTCTGATCCACAGAATAGACAGAGGAATACATGTACCTTCTAAGCCTCAGTCTCAAGGTGTTAGTGATTTTTGCTTTCATATTCTTGGAACCTGGTTACTTTGAGGACAACCCTGGGCAAGAGCAAGGATATAACATGAGACAGTGAGGGGCATGCCCAACTTGCTACCAGCAAGTTGTGGTTGGGGTCATTCCAGATACCTCCAGGCATGGCAACAAAAGTCCTGTCTTACTGACCCCAGCCCAAATTGCCAACCTATAGAATCTTGAGGCTATGCTGTATATAGTTGGCATTGTACATTTCAGATTGGCAGCAATAACTAATATACATTCCTAAGTTTTGCTGCTATAATTCAGAGTATGGATTCAAATGAAAGACTTTGACTTTGCAATTCACAAGTTAAAAGCAAGCATTTGTAGCAATTCTTAATATTATTAAGAATTATGAAAAATATGAAGTTTCCCTTTCCATGGAGCCCAAACAAATTCTACTTATTTCTAGTGAGGCTGTATTTTTGGAAGATAATCCAAGGATTGAAGCAAGTAATTTGCTCTTTTCAGCTTCAAGATCCCGAAGGGTATTTGATAATATGATATCTCACCATGCTTTTTAGGGTAGAATGTTCTTCAGGAATCCTGTGGTAGTCCGTTCTGTAATTTATTTATAATGTATTACTCATCTATTTCCAAAAAGGAATTGAGTTGGCTTGTTGATAATAATATAGCTAGAGGCTCCTTATTGTATGATTCTAGAAATTGCCAGGGAAAGTACCCACAGTTTGCTTAGTTTTTATTTCACATAAGAATAAACCAGGAGCTGGAATGGAAAACTAGATCTGATTTACTGTGATCTACTACAGAGTAAATTGCTGAGCTAGAATGCCAAGAGGCATGATGAATACTGATTTTTCTCTCATTTATTCTACCCCCTGCCCATCTGCTTTAGTTCCTCATCTTCAGTTGCTAAAATGAAAATGTATTTAATTGCTCTTTCAAGGACTCATACATTCCATTTTATGTTTCTGTGTACAAAGGTCTATTATTATCCCATGTCTTATGGTCTTTGTGTTTGCTTTTGGGAGAACAAAGTTACAAGCACATTTCCATAAGGGAAAGGTAAGTTTTATAGTATGCTCCAAGTAATATACTAACATCTGTGTCAATGGGTCAGAAAGACTTATGAAAATTATAGCCATGGAGATTTTTTCAAAGCTTCTGTACAAGTCTAGTACACTCAGTTATAAGGTAAACACACCAGGAATTGTGCCCTTTGCATAGTGGTTTGCTGTCTTTTTTTCTGACACAAAATATTTCACTTATACCACGAGCTACTTTTCTTTGCCCTCAAAAGTCTGAAGTGTCTGCCAATAGACACTGGAAATGGGATGCAATTTAAAAATGAATTTAACCCACTATGATGGGAAGATCTGAAGAGTGTACAGAGATGAGGAATATTCACATTCTGTAAACAATTGCTCTTTGATAAGGGTGCAGTGTAAATTAACACCTGTATCATAATCAGGACCCCAAATAACCTCACCAAACAATTTTCCTAATTCAGCAATACAGATAAGATTATAAAGTGAGATCCTACCTAAAATGCATGAGAGCAAAAGCAAATATTTCAAGACTATCATTATATTTTACATGACTAAATGTTTCCTAGGCTTTGCCTATAAAAGTGTCAGAATAAATTTGTGTCTAATATTAACAAATGCAGTACTAAATTCAGATCGTTATAGCTGGGCACATGTAAGGGGCAAATCATGCAGCCAATATTACAGATCTTTCTGTTAGCAATTAGTACAAAATATTGCGTTTCTACCAGAGTCCCCCATGCATAATAATGACTGGCTT